GGCAGCATCAGCAGGAAGGCAGAGCAAGATGGATGTACAAGAGACACCTCGCAGCAAGCCCCTTGCTCTGACAGTGGTTAGTAGCAAAAGAGGGGCTCTAAGGAGGAATTTAAGGTAATTTTATCTGGACCCCTGAAGCAGACATTTTGTAACATGTTTGGGGCATGCATGCCTTCTACTTAGAATACCATTTCAGACACATTTCTGAGGGAAGAAGGAGACCCAGATAAAATGAGAGCACATTTTCTAAAGCCTGCATTGTTATCAGGAGGAAACATGGGGAAGGAAAGGAACTGAAAATAGCAGGAATTGCAAGAAAAGATTAATGCTGGTTGCTTCTTGTGTTCTGTGTGTTTTATGATTAATGTGTGATCATATACCTCTCCTCTGCACCTGTTGTTGGATCCAGATCCAAGAAATGACTGCAATATTTTCCATTGTATATTTTTCCCTTCGTTGAAGTCCTTGGGATGGAGTAATGGTTGAAACATTTTCTGTTGTGTATTTTTCCCTTTAGGGAAGTCCTTGGGATGGAGATAAAAGCCGATTGCAGGGGATGTTCATTCCAGTTCTCAGATCAGAACGAAGACACCATGAAGTTCATTTTACTCACAGCTTCTTAGGAGCTGCTTCTAAGTCTGAATGTTTTCTTACAGTTCCTTTCTGGACATAAAGTTGCTGAGATGCCTCAGAATTTGAAGGCCCCGATTCTCCGTGAATACAGTATGAAATGCACATACATTGCTGAATTTGAGAGGATTTTCTAATTGTGTATTTGGCTGAACTGGATTTTATAAATATGGAGAGAGGGAGTGTAAATAGACCCCAAATATTTGATTACTCTCCAGAAGTAGCTGAAAATTAAGAAAAGTTAACGGGTGGTCTGATCTATGATAATGAAGTTTCCCAAACTAACCTGAATTCCTTTTCACAGTCAAAAAATCTTTTTTGATACTTCTGTTGAATCTGCAGCTTGCTGCTGTCAGCAATCCAAAGAGAATATGTGACATGATTTATTTCAAAAAATAAAGTGTGTGTGTGGGGGGGTAGAGGGCTGGGAGTTGTCTTTTGACTACCGTGTAGCCCTTATTTCAAAGTGCCAAACTAAATGCTTAGAGGGAACGCAGGGGCCCAATTCCCTCTGTGCCCTATATTTACAAACTTCCAGATATAGCAACGAGAGGTGCCTGTAATGGAGAGTGAGGGTGTGACTAAAAAAAAGTGGAGGGCCAGAGACAGAGAGAGAAGCCAGAAGGGAATCTTCGGGAGGGAGGCAGCTAGCTCTTTCTGTGTGATTGCTTCAAGAGAGAACTTTCTAAGTATTATCAACCTGCTTACAGAAGCAACATCCTCTTCTTGTCAACCTATTACAATTAATTGTTGTTTTCTATGTGATTGTAAGCCACCTTGAAATCCAGGGCAATATGTATCTAAAAATAACTAAAGAAATAAAATAGCCAGCAAAAGATAGTCTGGGCGTGTTTCCTGATCTGTTTGTCTAAGGCCACTTGATCCCAATTGACCATTTTTGGCCTATAAAAGAATAATTTTTGAACTTATGGCTAACCTAGTCTCGTCACCCACTCAGTGGGTGATATTTGTTTCTTGATGACCCTGACCACTGCATTGATGTCATGCATGAATCTGACCCTATGGGTGCTAAGCAAATTGCTTCTTATACAAACTAACACCACTATTGGGGGGGGGGGGAATCCAGGAATGCAAGGGCCTTGCAAACCTGCCTTCAAGCTGGAGCCACCACTGTGCACACTACTACCCTTGCAAGAATACCTTAAACCTGATGCCCCTGGTTGCATTCAATTGGCCCTATAATGTCTCACCCACCTCAAGTGAAGTCTGCCACAGTGTGATCCCATTGAAAAAAATGTCAAGAAATTGTCCCGCATCTTTAAATCAACCCATATCCCCTTCGTAATCTGAATGTGATGGTACTGTGCCTTAATCCCAGCTGTAGCTCTCACAAGGCAAGCACTAAATGCTGTCCCTGGAGATATCACCTGGCCTGCAAAATTGAGATGCTCTGAGAAGTGACTGCCATTCCTTCAGGGTCATTTCCCCCCCCCCTTAATTATGAGCTTTCATATTGAAACTTTTAGATTGGCTATCTTTTCTGTTGGCATAGAAATGTCAGATGCACTGTTCAGTTTAATCCTTAGATACACCCTGTGTTTTATCTTCTGCCAACGGGATACTTAATTCCTCCACCATGTCTTCAAAAGCCCACAGTCTTTCCACACATGCAGAGGACTTCAGTGGACCAGCTATGGAAAAAATCACCAAGATAATGTATCACACAAGCGTTTCCTGCCTTATCCTTTAGCACTCATTTTGAGAATGTGCTAAAAGTTTCGAAGGCTGTGCAAGATGCTGCACATTGCTAAGGCATGACTTGGTTGTAATCTTTCATAGAAATCTTTGGGGTGCATCAGCTGATTGGAGATCATATTTTGCCATTAAGGCTCCTGTTTCACGCGATCCCACCAAACCCACTGCATTCTCAACGAAAGCATAATGGACCAAGCAAAGCTGTGCTGGAATGGCATCATTAACTGAACCTCTCTTGGGGCATGGCAAATGATGAATGAGCCTACATTCACCTAGGGTTTTCTTCAACCCTCACTGGGGAAACCACCATATTTGTGAAAGGGGCCTGTTGCCCACCTGCCAGGAGCTCTTTATTGATCTTATTCTTCACCACATGTGCATTTTAATGTACTAGATTCATTAGAAGGGAGAAAACGAGCTGGGATTCCAAAGCCAAATTGAAACCCATGTCTCATATATTATGGAGCTTTCTGATTCCCTCTCTAGACTCCAAATACACAGAAATAGAACATTCCTTAGGGGTTTCTTTCCTTCAGTGGTTTAGCATTTGGAAAGCTCACCGTCATTAGCACTGAAACTCACAATAATCTAGGGCATAATCCCCTTTGTTTTTACTGTGCGTGCAATGATGTTTTTCACGTGTTCACTCTTTCTTTAGCATTTGTGCAAAGAGGCATTTCCCTTGTGCATGCGAAAGCAGTTCTAGTTTCAGTGGGGTGATCTCCAGCTCATATACCACCAGCAAGGTGGAAATTATGTTGGGCATTACATCAGGGCAAGGTTACACCCCATGGTTCCTAAGTGGATTCCATCCATACCATTGGCACACTGGACAAAATGTTAATGTCTGCACCGCTACAGAACAGTTAATAGATCTGTTAGAGCAAACATAAGGTCCTTCCTTCATACATAAATGCCACTTTTCTTCCCTTGATTATGGTATGTAAGGTGACACAGATTAATCTGTGGACTGCCTCTGTCAGGAATCACTCCAAGGGGGTATGTATGTGAGTACTGTATGTGGCTTCCTCACACATTCATGATATTAATTAATGAACTTGGATGTGGAAAGTCAAGTGCAGCACTTTGAATTTATCTTCAACCTATAGTGTTTCAGGCAGCCCATTGCTCTGTGGTGGGAATCCAATAATGCATTGCTCAGATACATACTGAAAGCATAAAAACGTACTGGAAGTTGTGGGGGGGATGCTTCTGTGGCATTTTGTTAGGGGAAAAAAAGAAGTTATGTGAAGAAAGAATTAGCAAACTATAGCAGCCAGTTCTTAGGGCTCTGCAACTGGTACTGATGGTGAGGTAAGAGATGTATACTTTGCCAACCCTTCAGGTACAAGAGTTGATCACAGAAACAGAAGAAAACTCTGAAGAAGCATTGGGCATCATAGTAGAGCCGTGAAGACATTTCCCATCCATAGAATAAACACAAAGAAAATAGTCATCAGACTTTTTGTTTTCTGGAAGCTTATTGAACCTTTATTTGAAAGTTATTCAACTTGGGGGGGGGGCTGTTGCATATTCAGTCCCTGATTTTGAATTTACTAGTATGCAGATTTACTACACTGTGACGTAAGAGGAAGAAGAGGAAGAAAAGTCTTCTCAGCTGGGATCTTTGATCAGTTGGATCTGATGGTGCTTTGAATCCAGGAGACGTAGTTGCAAACTTTGGTGTAGACGCCAGGAGAGCCCTTCAGAGCACAACCCTTGCCCCAGGAGACAATCCCCTGGAGTTCCCCATTGCAGACCACCGGTCCACCAGAGTCTCCCTGAAAAACAGTACAAGGGAAATGTATTCAGAAAGCAATACAGTTAAGGTAATGGTGTTTCTCTGTACTATCCTTTACCTTGGGAGCAAACAAGCCACCATTTCCAGACATTGTGTGTCCACAAAATAGAGAATTAATCTGACTTAAACACATTCCCATAGCTGGACACTATTCATATAATTTTTGTGAGCCTTCAAATGAAATTACTGAGCTGTAATTAAGGAACTCTAGCTTGGATAACTGTAGCCAAAGGTGCACCAAGGATTGGAGAACTGGTGAAGGATTTTCTCTCGTCATTGGATATTCGTATCCCTGGGGATATGAATACAAATATTGGCACCACAGGTTGCCACGGAAGCCCGGTTCCTCCCCTCTCCTGAAACAGATGGCCCACTAACCTGTTGTGCGCATCCATTGTTGTTCACAATGTGCCAATCCAGGAAGCAGCCTGGCTGGCACTTTTCCACCTCCCGGCACAGCCGACCACTCTGGCAAGGAGGTGGGATGATGAGTCGCCTCGTTCAGCTGTTGAGCGGTTGGCTGTGCGCAGAGGCCGGTAAGTGCCAGCCAGGCTACTTCCTGGATTGGCATGGAGTGAATGATGATGGCCCCACACGCCATACAGCTAGCAGTAAGTGGATCAGCCAATTCAGGGGGGAGGGACTTGGTTTCCATGGCACCTGTGGTGCTGATATTGTATTTGTATCCCCAGGAATGCAAATACAAAGATCCCATATCTAATAAACTTCCTAACAGCTCAGCAAAGAGGTAAACCTGAAGATTATTGGGTTGATAACACAGAGAAGGTGAAAGGATCAAAAATGGTTGACAGGTGCCATGTCCAGATTTATTTCAGTTGTCCTGTTACAGCAGAAGTATAAAGCACCTTATACTCTGTAATTTTATAAATTTTTGAAATATCATAAAACCCTTTTTGATAATAGACATTAGTAGGGCAGAAGAATTGAGCATGGGCCTTTTCATGAATTCAAAGGTAAGAATCATGTGGCATCTGCTTTTGCGGCCTCCAGAACCGAAAATAATTTCTGTCTTTCTTTTAAAAAATCTCCTCAAAACTTTACTTATTTATTTTGGGTATTTATATTCTGCCCTATGTCATCACATCTTAGGGTGGAGTAAAATAATAAAAATATTTAAAACAATTGATATACTTCAAAACCATTTAAAAACATTAAAAATTACATACATAAAACCCAGCAACAATAAAGAAGTCTCCACAATGTATTAAAATGCTTAATCTCCAAAGGGCTTGGTGAACAACCATGTTGTAATTTGGCACCGAAATAAAGTTAGTGTCAGAGTCAATCAAACCTATAAGAGAGGACCATGCCATAACTGGGGTGCTACACCTCACAAAGCCTTCCCCTATGTCTCCACTTAGTGGATTGTTCTCCACGGGACACAGAGAAGGAGACTGTCATTAGATTGTAGTGATCAGGCAGGTGCATATCGAGAGGCAACCCGTCAAGAATCCAGGACCCAAGCCATTTAGGACTTTATAGATTATCATCAACAAGCCACCTGGGAGCAAAAGTATATTGGCCGTCAGTGCAATTCAGAACTGGCTCTAGAAGTTGTTCCAGCTACTGCACATTGTATTAGTTGCAGCATCCCTGTTGTATTCAAGGACTTCATTCCATGCTCTCTGTCTCACGCGCTTCTCAGAATGCCCCTCCACCTGGGAAATTTATCAACACCTTGAACTCAGAGCAGAAGTATATTGGCCATCAGTGCAATTCAGAACTGGATCTGGGAGTTGTTCCAGCTACTGCACATTGCATTAGTTGCAGCATCCCTGTTGTATTCAAAGACTCCATTCCATCATGAAATGCTCACTGTCTCACACCCTTCTCAGAATGCCCCTCCACCTGGGAAATAGCCCATGGTCCTACAAATTGCCATCCTGACATGCATACCTTCAAATCTTTTACACAGTATCCACATCATCTTCAAGGGCAGCACTAACTAAAGTGCATCACAGTAGTGTAACCTGGAAGTTACCAGCGCATGACCTACTGCAGCCAAGTTGTCCATGCGCCAAAATGAGAGGCCAATTGAAGATGATCCCAGGCATTCTGTGCCTCAAGTGATAACGATGGCCCAAGGAGTATTTCCAGGCTACCGGGGCATTTCTTTCCCATGTTTTGAACAGCCCAAATCAGTTCCTAGACTTTCCAGCATGAGCCCCACTTTCTGACTTTTGAGAAACCTTCCTGGGTTTCTGGCTCCTTTTAGCCGTGATCCAGCCCCCTTTTTAACAAATAATTCAGTTTGGAATTTTAAGTTAAATGCAAATACAGAGGTGTGTCCATTTTCTAAAAAAATAATAAGAATAAGAATACTTTTTTTCCCTTGTCCCCGAAAGGTCATTAAAATGTGTTTTCCTCTGCTGATACACATAATTTTCATCATGAAATGCTCACTGTCTCACATCCTTCTCAGGACGCCCCTCCACCTGGGAAGTAACAGAATAGCCGGCGATCCCATAGATTTCCATTCTGGCAGACATTCCTTCAGGTCTTTTACAGATTCCAAGCCATGGCCTTTCTTAAGCAACTGAGGCATCTGCAGAGGGGACTTCTGTGACACTCGACTCCAATACCCTATACTGCGGAGTAACTGAGAAAGACTTACCTGACAGGAGTCTTTGCCCCCTTCCAGGTATCCCACGCAGATCATATTACTGGTGATTTGCCCCGGATAAGCTGCACTGCACTGACTGGAGGAAAGTACTGGAGCCCTCAGGCACTGGAGGAGGTCAGGGTACTTAGCTGTAAGAAACAGGGGGAAAAAGAAGAAGTACTAACCACACTTTATATTGGGGCACCGCCTGATGAAGACGAGCGTAGGTCAATGTACTACAATAAATACAATTTTATTTCATTTTGTATTGTGTGAGGACTACACCGCTTTATTTAGAGGTTTTTTTTTATGCAACAAAAGAAAATGGGAGCCATCCCCTTCCTTCTGAAAATTAGAAATGTTTTTGCTTTCCCTAACTATGCTTCCATAACAAACTGTTACTTTAGGCAAAGATATCTAGTCTTAATGTCCCTTTTTAAAAACAAAAATGAGACAGTCCAGGTGGGAGTGATATGAAGAAAAGAACTGACAAGAAAGGTAATATGTAGCCCCTGGTGGTTTTTGCTTTATAGGGGGTTAAAGGAAAGCAATGCTTTGCCTTAAAACAACTTTCCAGGGTCACGGAAGGTGGAAAACTCCCAAGGCATCGACACGGATGACTTTGTAACCGCTACCATTAAGACTCTGCAAGAGCCACCTCATTCCCCACTGCAGTCAGTGGCCACCAAACCTTGGTCATTCTCCAAGGGGCAAGAGGGTGTCAGCGCCTCCTTCCGCACCACTGAGCCTTGTTCGGGCCACAATGCGGAGCAGTTCCTAGGCTTTTCAGAACCTCAAGGTCCTCATCTCTGTAAGTTCGATGGCTAATTTGGCAGTGGCAGATCTTGGAATATTAAGGAAGAAATACTAAAAAAAAGAATTAACCCAAACGCAATCTGGAAAACATTAGACCATGTGCGTTGGCCACTGCTTTTTACTCATGGCTAATGTTTCAGACACTGCCAGTATCTTGTTTGGGCTTTTTATTGTTTTCCTTATTTTTTTGGCTGTTGGCGCTTTCTCCCTCTCTCTGGCCAGACCCAATTGATGTTCACATAAGGTTTAAATAACATGCCACAGTCAATTGTAACTAATTGGCAAAGTACTAGGCTTCATCTCCACGGCTTCATTGGACATGCAACTAAGACTGTTGTACCTTGTCAGTAAGCTGCAGTTAGATGCAGCAGGTTACACAAATTTTACACGAACACCAAGAGGACTCTGGCAAATATCTCTTAAAACAGTGTGTAGTCCCTCAATGCCCTTCCTCCCCAGGGCAACTAAATCAACCATCACCACCACTAATACCACCAACACACCACCAATATACAGCCCACATTACCACTAATAGGATCTGCAATAATGACTAATAATACCCTTCTCACACACGTGCAAACACACACTTAACAGTTGGGCAAAACAAATAAGTCTCTTCACTATATCAGTTCTGCAGTGTTTGTGTGCTAATATTGAGGGGGTAAAACATTTAAGGTTATTGCCCACTTGCTTAGCGTTAACACAGACACACACATAATAATAGCATTCTATATCATACATTGGATGAAATCCTGTTGCTAAGGGTAGTAAGTCACAATAAGAGCAAGCCCATTGAATCAATGAAACTTATAAGAGGAACTGATTCACCAAATCTCCACTGATTCAATGGGCCTACTTTAGTTGCAACTCACTATGCTAAGGAACAGGATTTGGCTATTATTTTCACACTCTGGGGCAGATTTAATGGCAGGGGCTACAAATAAAAGTATAAGGGCCACAGGTAGCCTACAGGCTTGCTGAATCCTGGCTTATCAAGTTACTTTACTAGATTTATTGGAAACCCCTAATGAATGGACAATGAGTTTCTTATAGTCTGCTCTAGATGGACTGACTGCTCTCTCTGAGTGTCATTAACACAACAGCTGCATATGTCACGTCCCAGAAGGAGGCTTTAATCTATCTCAGATTGGGCTGTCTATAACCATGTATGCTCTGGGAGGGTCTTTTATTATGTTTGATTAAATATTTTGTTTTATTAATTATTTTCCATTGTACTTATAAGCTACTCTGAAAGATTTTGTTATCCTGAAAGGTGGAGGTCAACTGATCATAATAAATGAATACAATTTCAGTGAACTGGAGTATATCTGTGAAGATTCTCAGTCATCCGGGCGAGGTCATCTAGAAGTTGAATCATGGCAACTCACAAGAAAGAAGTCCAGTTGCCATGGCTCAACTTCCAGGGAACTGGAATGTATTACAGAGTAGAAAAAGAGCCTACAGGCTGTTGCTCGGCAATCATGTTGTCATTATATTAGCCTTTCCCTCACCCTCATGTGTACTCAGTGGACCTGTCACTGAACCTGCCTGTTGATATCATGCCTGGAGAAAAAGCACATAGCATACTCACTGCCACTGCTGAGGGTGTTGCCCCAACCAGAGACCAGACACTGTGTCCCAGCACTAACACAGCTAGAGGGCAGAGAGATAGCCTGGACATTGGAGTTGAGGGTGGCTGCTGAAGACAGCTTGATGAGCATGATGTCATTGTTCAACGTATTGGAGTTGAAATTAGGGTGACGGATGATTTTGGATGAGGAGATGTATTGCTCCGAGCCATCATTTGAGTCCAAACTGTGTTCTCCAAGTCTCACTTGGATACGCCTGGGTAGAAAGAAGAGAAAAAGATCTTACTGAGCATGCCCTGTACCATCTGACACTTTCCAACACCCTACATTTCCAAAACCGTTCTCACCAATGGCGCTGTTGTTGGGAGTAACCACTGACCAAAGCGCTTAAACACTAACAAATATTCATTCCATTGTAAATTAATTTCTAGCTCCTTTTAGACATTAGAGAAGCATAAATAATTTGACATTCTGTGCATCCTGTTTGGCTCCTACTGAGTGGAAAATCCCACCAGAGTCGGAACATGGGATTAAGTTGCTTGTGCAAGCCATGATCTCCCATTCTCCATTTGGTGACTGAGCGACACTTAACACCTGCTCACCATGGATATTCATTGACCTTGCAGAGTCATAAAGCTACAGGGAGCAGAATGACAGAAATATTTCCCACTTACGACTTGTAGCAGTGAGCAGCTGACACAACCCACTGGCTGTTGATGAGGGATCCACCACAGAAGTGGTATCCTGAATTCAGAGAGACTTGATATGGGATGGAATTCTTTGCACAGGTGTATCCGCCAACGATCTTGTCATCATCATTGTCATCAATGGGGAAGGCCACTGGGGAGAGAGGGGGTGAATCATAGAGGAATCCATATTTCAGGCACTGCAAGACAGGTTTAGAACTGGGAGTCCTTTTGTGAACCCACATCACCTTTGACATGAGGCTTCAGGAAAACTATGACCTACTTTGAATCATGCTGAGGTTAGGCACAAGTTCAAAACTTATTCTCTAATAAACCAAAGATACTCAACCAGGGTCAAAGGACTTTATGCAGACAGATCAGGAAATATACCTGAACTATTCTATGCTGGCTGTTCTAATTGTTTTATTTTTAAAAGTTACATATTACCCCACCTCTCCTGGATTTCAGGGTGGCTTGATTAGCCATCCTTCAGTCTCGAGAGACTATGATAATGTGCTCTGTATGGAGGACTTGGAACAGCATATCGTGTGGCTGAGAAGGCCAATACAAGAGTGACAATCCCTTCCACACTGAGGACAAATACAATCTGTCCCCCGTCCAGCTCCCTGATTTTGCTGCTTTGGGGACTGCCTCTTTGCCTCAGCCTGCTGGACAACGGTCTCTTCAAATTGGGAGAGGCCGTGATGCAACACCTGCCTCCAGGCTGAACACCCAGATGTCAGAGTTTCCCATCTGTTGAGGTCCATTCTTAAGGCCTTCAGATCCCGCTTGCAGATATCCTTGTATCACAGCTGTGGTCTCCCTCTGGGGCAGTTTCCCTGCACTAATTCTCCATACAGGACATCTTTTGGAATCCGACCATCACCCATTCTCAAGGGTGGCTTACAAAAACATTAAAAAAGAATTAATTTTCATATGTTGACAAGAATGCAAGTTTATAATGCATAGAAAGTCCTCCCTTGAACCTATCTTCTAGAAAACGCTAGCTGGCCATGCCCACAGCTTCTCTTCTGGTTCCTCTTCCTGTTTAGCTCCCCACCTTTTTTTATTCACCCCCGCCCCTCCATTGCAGACCCCTCTCCTTGCTCTATTTGGAAGTTTGGCAATATGGGGCACAGATAGAATCTGACACCTGTGTCTCCTCTAAGCATTTGGTTTGCTTAGAGGAGACACATCATTTGGTTTGGCACTGTGAAATAAGGTCTACACCTTTAAAAAGGGGGGGGGGGGGGGGGTTGGCCGTCAAGTAG